GGGGGTTGTTCGGGCACCTATCTCCAATCCCTTCGTTGAAACACCACTGGTTCCACTGCAGAGGAGAGGAATTCCCTTGACAATCAATTACGAAAATTATTTTATTTCTACGTTAAAAGGACATGAACATTAAAACCACGTGTATTTGTTCTCTAGTTGACACCCAAATTATAGCAATACACGCATGTGTGCTCATAGTGAATGTCAGAAGCGGAAGTGAATGTCTTCTAAGTATAATTATGTGTTGCAGTTGATATGAATCAAAGTGGACGTCAGAGTTAAAAATACTTTCTTCGTAGCGGACAACCAAAGACACCTTAGTGGTATACTCTTATTAATAGCCATTTCAAATGGCATTCAACTTATTTTTCTATTCTGATTGTTAGACACCTTCCTAGTCAAGATCTTTTCTTATAGCTGTTTCCTTTAGCTCTCTGAAAGGACGGACGATGTAACAACACCATAACACCATGTTACAAATATATCATGTCAGTCCACATGTCAACTAAATCAAACGTTTCAGATGATTGCTCCGTGAATCCGTTCCGCCCACTCTATCTTTAATGAGAAAAACAGTTGTTTGATAATACCATTTCAAAAACATGCAATAAATGCAAGTCGATTCATATATCAATCCAAAACGTTTAGCTCACCACTTGAAGAAGATTGTGGATTCGTTCATCCCATACAATACGATATATTCAGTCAATACTTACAAAAGACAAATTGAGCATTTTCAAGGACGGTTCCAAGTAAGGGCTTGATCACATTCAGATGGCTTTTCTGTCTTAACATTGCAGAAAAACCATCTGCTAATTTAAATTATGTTAATATTGTTCAATATCTATGCTATGTTCTTACTTCATTTCATTTACTACACAAACAATACCTTCTTACACATTATGCATCTGGTTTCCGGAACGCTGAAGTGTCAACCTCTTAATCCCTAATTGAGAACCAATCACCATATATCAATTACACTTACACACAAACCTTTCTGTTGTACGTTCTGCTGATCGGATAGCCATACATGTTTCGTGTTAGTTTCCATAGTTTTTTAGTTTAGTTTATGAATAGAAATATGGAACAAGTCAAAATTAAAAATACTGCAGGAAACGGGACTGAAACGATACTAGCACACTTGCAACATTTACAACAAGTCCACTGTGCGTCTGAAAATATTGTAAGTCGAAAGATCGAGGTATTCATTGTCAAACTGTCTCCTTTATTTTGCCCCAAAACCATATACACGTCAAACTGATATCGTAAAAACATTTCAGAACTGTTCATTATTGCACTTTTTACCAAAATAATTGTCAAAAGGGAAATTAAAAGTAATCTATCCTTGACCATTTGCTACCGCACTCCCGTTCTCATAGCCCTTGATCAAGGTTTCCAAAATAAATCGTATTGCTTTCCTGTAGTTCGATTCCATTGACGCTGTGTATCTTTCTCCGAGTGTGTCTTTTACTGCTACCAGAAATGGTTCTTTTATTAACTGAAATGATATTGAAGGTTAAGTACATTTTAAATGATATAGCCACTAATCGTAAATACCTTACTAAATCATTTGGAGAAATAATACTGTCTCTATTAAGTTCTCCCGGTCAGAATACAAACATTTGACTCGAATGTTTCGTTTCCTTAACACTCTAAGCCAAAAACAGCTTGTTCCTACGTTAACTTGGCCGCCATCTTGAACAATTACGGCCATTTTGAAACAATATTGAAAGCAAATTAGTTCTCCTCTCCAGAATACATACATTTTAATATTAACATCACTCAAATATTTCCCTTCTTTGCCATCTTGAAAAAATGGCGGCCATTTGTGTTTTCACCTGGAAACCGACATTTTCTGAAAGAAAAGGTCCTGATGAACCTCTGTAACAAATTTGGTGCTTGTATCACCAAGTGAAAGATTGTTTCAGATATCTGCTGCACTGACTTACCAAAAACCATTCAGGTTTAAAACCAGAAAATCTGACATGGGTGGCCCCAATATGGGTTAGGGTATCAATAACTTGATCAGCATCGTTCAGGGTGGTGATAGCTTCATCAATAGTCAACATAACAGCCGCAACATGGCCTTTCAGTTTCTCATTCTCGGCAAAATCAGCCAACGTGCTGTCTGGGTCAACTTTTAGAGTCTTGATGAAGAATTCTTTTACTATTTCGTGTTTCTCGAACAAACTGAAAATATAAAGGGAAATATTTTAAGTTTTCTTCTGTAATTATCTCAACTACATGTATGTAGTTTCCTTTTCCTTTTACTTGTAGTTTCATTCACCTCTAACTTCTTGATTTGTACACAAGGCGTTCAACCCTGTGTCATCTTTTTCAGTTTGGATAGTGATGTATAGCTGAAGTAAAACATGGACATATTTATACTAAGTTCTCCTTTTGACAACTGAAATCTACTCCCTTCTTGTTGGGTCATTTATGTGTATTCTTAAATATAGATAACACGAAACGTTGTTGCTCAGTTGTCAAGGCCCTGTTTAATTTAAAAATTTCGTCTTCTTTAACGAAAATTTGTATCATTTAGATATCTCTGTGTATTTAGCTTTCAATCTAAAAGATCAAAACCCAGGTTTCTGATTATTACAAGATAGTTTCGAAGTTTAAGCAAATCGCCATACCCAACTTACCACTCCTGTTCATAGTTATATAACGTCCTCTATGAGAACTGCATGTAGCTCTATAAAGACATTTTGACAGAATAAAAATAAAAGGACATTTTGAGACAGCATTATTACATATTAAGGATTTGCACTTGTATTATGATGAAATATATCCGGAATACATAAGTTTTTACTTGGAAATATCCGCCCGCCGGATTCAAGAGAAGATTGCGTGGGGATATTATAATAGCAATGGTTAAAGCGACCATCACACTATTCTGCACAAATTAAAAAACTAAGTGGGTGCCAAAAAGTAAATAGAAAATTAAAAATAAAATAAAGATACAAAATTCGTATTTCTCTTGGGACATTCGTGAGTGTTACAAAACGTTGGCGCGATTTTAATAATTTGCTGTAATGGAGACTAACACATGATTTCAATGATTTTGTTGAAAATTGAGAGTTATGTATCAACCTTAAATGAATTCATAGGGAGTTTTATAGCCTTGTGTCTGTACCAAAACCATTTATAGCATCTCTTTGAAGAGTTCCTGATTAGATTTGTCTCTCGTGTTTAAATTCCAAATAACAACATTATGCAAAAACCGTTTGGCATATTATCATATTATATATACGTAGAACCTTCAATATAAGCGATCCCGATACCTATAGGAAGTCTAGAGCAGGTATTCTGAACAGAGGGCGCCCGCGCCAATGATGGCGCAACAGTGCATTCAAAATGGCACCCGATGGAATTCGCTAGCGTCCGTGGCGCTTTAGCAATTCCAAACAATGAAAGTGTCTCTTCAGCTTATTTACTTGAGAAACCCTGATCTAGAGGTATCTGTTTCTTGTTTCTAGTAAAGCTTGAGACGTCATGTCGCAAATCAGTTTCACTTAAATTGCGCGAGAAGAACCTACAAGTATAATTGACTGATACCATAGTTACAATGACTATAAAACCCAAGACTGCGTATTCTCGAAACGATCTTAGCGCTAGGATGTCCCAGGATCTTAACATCTAACACCGTTCTTAGGACATCCTAGCACTTGATCATTTCGAGAATACGAGGCCAGGAAAATATCATTGCCAAGAAGTTTTGCCAAAGACTAGCGAGTAGAAAAGATCCACGTGAACCTAACTTAATTGTGATACCCAGTCTCATAAGGGCAGTGACCTAGGTCCTTTTATTTAGTATCTTTGTAAAATATAGGTGTGTCTTTCATGCTTTTGTTTTGAATCCCTTTAAGTGACGTGGATATAAGAACACTTACTCCCACTACAAACTACAGGATACTAGAATATTTTCATCAATTATTTATAAACAATATGAACATCAAAACAAAATATACGCATTGGCTGTATTCGATATTATATTATATTTTCATTGTTCGTATAAATCACATGTATCACGCTAAAGGGTTATAAACACCTTGTTACACGTTGCTACTACTGATTGGTATCGGGTGTTACACCTAACAAACAGATCTGGACGAAAACAAGTCGCTTTGGGACATACGCTGGACAAAACAATACGTCAGTGGTACAATCAAAACAAAGGTAAATTCCAACAAGCCTACAATATTGAATGGTTATGAATATTAATGGATAATGTTTATCATGAGATAAATGATACAATTCAAGAAACTCAACGATAGCCAAGAGGCTGTAATTAAAAATCAATGACGAAAGGCATAGTTTATGATAACAATAAGCAATATAGAGGGATGCAGTAGGGCCTGACAAGGTTCATAGTTAATATACCAAGAGGCTGCACAAATTCAACGTGAGAGTACAAAAGATTGTCAAAAAAAGGGAATAAAAAATATCCTTAATTCGTTAATCCTTAAATTATGATATCTATACGTTTTTTCCTCGAAATTAGTTTTAGAATGTACCAAATCTATCAATATCTTGGGAGATCCCTCTCAGACGCTCTATAAGAGGCTGTCGACTATAACACTTCCATGGAGTATAGCCGCATTTTGAACTCAGCCTCGACAGTTGTCCCTCCAACCTCCACCCCCGCCGATTAAGCCTATCTGTCCCTTACTTATAAGGGACTTATATAATATAAGTAGTGGGTAACTTATTAGTTAACGTGACTATCTCTACTATCTGACAGTTGCATTAACCCCTCCATAACTAGGATGGAGTCATATTATTAATTAACCCCCTCCCTAACTGGGGTGGAAACTTATTCTTAACATAATTAAAAATCTAATCAATCGTAAAAAGATGAAAGATGGTTTATGGTCACCGAGTAACCTACGTTACAAACTATTCTTTTAATAGTTTCACAATGAGGTAAAGAAACATTTTACAAAGGCGTTGCGTTAAAATGTTGTAAGTAAACGAAATGTTGCATCTATTGAACGAGTCGAGTCATATCAGTAGCTACCTGAAAAAAGTTGGGTACAAGTTAGTTTTCCCTGGTGGTAAAATTGGCTAGTTAAACACAAAAGTTTCGTATGCACTTTGCATACTAATGATAAGGCAGTTTTTTGCGCTAGATTGTATTGTCAGTCGAACAACCATAGTGTTGCGGACAGTAACTCTCAATCTGAACACATTTTCTACCCTATTTCCACACTCATTAGTTTATTTTCAGACAAATTTCATAACTAACACGTGTTTTAATGGCGTCAAATCGATCATTGGTGATCGTTATCCGAGTTCAAATTTCATTTGGTATTGATATAGAGAGTTGATAAGCGGTTAATTCTGATATTTCTACAGTAATTATGTATTCTTATCATACAATCAGGCGAAACACATTCAATAATATTATAACAATATAATATAGGAATCTATCTGTACTTATCATTAACAACTAATGGACGACTACGTTTCGAAATGATGTCTCGCGCTCGGTCGTATGCACCAATCGCTTCTGATTACAGTTTTGCCTACAATTAATATATCCAACACTCTTTTAAGGGAATTTTGTTATTGTATTTCTAAAAGCTTTAGGATTGAATTAGGCAACTCCAACTCATTGCTCTGGAAACAGTAAATTTGTTTTTTGCATTAATCACACATGCCTTATTTCCAATGATAAAAACAAGATATAACACACACAACAAAATACACAAGTTATCGTTAAATACACGACAGTTAATCATTCGTAACAACGTTTTTTCCAAATAAAAAATCTACCTAAGTGACAAAACTCCAATGACTTCTTCACACAAATAGTTTTTGATACTTTTTAAATAAACCTCTTATCTATGGAAGGCGGAATGGCTTTTTATTCAATGTTCTTCATTGCTATTATTACATTGAATAAAAAGCCATTCCGCCTCCCATATTTATTGACATGCACTCTTGTGACTCTTGTAAGTTTTTTGTACCATCCACCATGTCCGTCAACTAACAGCCTGGTCAACAGAAATAAATACACGCTAAATGTTCCCGTCATTTAAATGCAAAACGGCCACATCAATTTGAAAACATAGGTGGCGCTCCACAGGTTCCGCTATATATAAATGTATTGTAATAAGGGAGACAACACGATTTAATATAAAAATAGTCAGGCTATAAACAAATCGGTCATATAAAATTAGGAAGACTCAAGTGTATGATAATCAATATTTACCACACATCAACCAACAAACTTCATTACTATAGTACACACCACGTGTACTGTATAGACAGAACATATTTACATACTATCTCTTACCTTACCGACGCACAAGATCCTTAGATACTTCGAAATCGGAAATAGAGTCCGCAATGTAAATGAAAAATGCGCAGCCGGTGAGACCACGAGCATGTATGTCGTAAAACTAAAATTTAATTTCATTCTGGCATCAAGTGAATGAAAAGTTCCCTGTGTTCTGATTAACTAGTACTTCGATAAACTACTTTATTGGAATAATACCGCTGTCCTGGATAAATTTCCCTCATTGTACCCTGCATGGCGTTGCCGTCTTCATTAGCACACATGGTGCAGAAAAGTAAGACGTAAAACTCCATTCATTTCATATTTTTCAATTGGAAAACAGAATAATACCATCAGGCCAGACATGGGAGATAAATCCACTTTTATATCTGAATACGCTCCCTTGTTACACGGTTCAAGATGCAAATCAGGATCCGACTATTGGTAGTTGGTTGAGTGTACACTACATTGGTTGAGTGTACACTACATTGGTTGAGTGTACACTACATTGGTTGAGTGTACACTACATTGGTTGAGTGTACACTACATTGGTTGAGTGTACACTACATTGGTTGAGTGTACACTACATTGGTTGAGTGTACACTACATTGGTTGAGTGTACACTACATTGGTTGAGTGTACACTACATTGGTTGAGTGTACACTACATTGGTTGAGTGTACACTACATTGGTTGAGTGTAAACTACATTGGTTGAGTGTACACTACATTGGTTGAGTGTACACTACATTGGTTGAGTGTACACTACATTGGTTGAGTGTACACTACATTGGTTGAGTGTACACTACATTGGTTGAGTGTAC